CATTAGTCACCATAGACTATTGTTGGTTGTCACTGCTTATAGTCATTGACCATCAACTACCGCAACCCCTATTTGCAAACGTTGTACTGTAAATATGATTGTCGTGTCTAAAGCTTGTATTGAAAATTTGGTGATAACTAACGACCTTCGTAGCCACCAACCACTGTTAACCACTGACGGTTGTCACTGTCTGCCCTTGCATGCCACCGATCCCCACCTACCCCTACTTGCAACTGTCATATTCTATATACGGTCGTTGTGTCTACCAAATGTATTGAAGACCGGACAAATAATCACCACCCATCGTAGCTACCGATTATTATCGATCACCCATGTAAGCCGCTGTCGACCAAAGTCGACCTTCGATCACTGGCCTCCAACGACCCCTAATTACAACCATTGTAGTCTAAATACAGTTGTTATTTCTAGTAGCCCTTGTATTTTATTAATGTTGTAGAAGGACAAGTGTCATTTTTAATATAAAATTATATCTCCATTATCATTGCCCTAAGAGAAGGGGTTCAACTACGGCTAATACATTTATGACCAACTACTACCTTTTTAGAATCTAACTACAACCTTTGTAGGCAACTACTACTATTACAGCTTTCAACTTCGACCTTTGTGGCCAACAACCACTATTACAACTATTGATTAGAGTTAAGCACCTCTTAAATATAATTAGGTTTCCTCTCTTCTTATGAGCTAGATAGGCTAAAAAGGATGACTCTAGTTGTCAGCTATCACATAGGGGAACAAATAGAAAAAACATCGAGGACCACTATGTCCACCACTATGTCCATGTCATGGAAACATGAGCTTCATTACCTTTGAAGGACTCAAAGTTGCTCCCCGACTTTTATATTATTTCTTTATTTTTTCTGTCACATTTATTATTTCTCGTAGGATTGGTTAGCTTTTTCTTCATGCAATTAGATCACTTCAAACTAGATTCAGTAGTGTGTATATTAGAACTTTTCTTGTTAGAAATATTTGGACACCTATCATCATGGGATTGATACACAGACACATTGTATGTATATTACTTGATTGAAATTTATGCTTATTTGATTGACCAATTTATTTTACAATAATTTCAAGCATCAAGTTTTTGGTGTTTTTGTCAGGATATGTGTCAAAATTTTCTAAATTTTAGAGATTTTTAGTTGAAACACTTTGAGTTTAGGTTTGAATGTTTTTCTGTTTATTTGCAGTTTCATTATCATTTTATTTTGTTCTTATTTTTTGAAAAATACAAAAAAAAAATTTTTCATCTTTATTTTTGTTCCTGTAATTACATATTATCATGTTCAGTTATTGTGTTGTCCCTGTATTTTATTTTATGCTTTACTATTTTCTTTATTTCATGTTTTAAATATGGTCACCCTTCGCATAACTGTCATTGATGCAAAGATTTTTGTAAGAGAACTGTTTCTCTTCAACCCTAAAATGTAAAACATTTCAAAATTTTTTAAAAAAGTCAAAAACCTAAAAAGAAACATTAGAGATGGAGAACCCTCAAGAAGGTCACATGAAACCTTTTAGGGAGTTTATCAACTCATCAGTAGAGGGAATCCACATGAGTATTCATTATCCTGCCATAAAATCCAACTCATATGAGCTGAGACTTGTCATAAGCTAAATGCTACAAAATAACTAATTTGGGAGAGCACCAACTGAAGATCCAAACCTACACCAAGCCTATTTCATGGAATTTTTTTGCCACTTCCAAGTTTAACGGTGTACCCCGTGATGTCATTAGACTAAGTCTTTTCTCTTTATCACTTAGAGGTAATGCCAAGATTTGGCTCACCTTCTTAGCACAAGGATCCATCACCACATAGACTGACTTAACCGAAAAATTCCTAGCCAAGTATTTTCCTCTATCTAAAATGACATCACATCCTTCACCTAATTAGATGAAGATTTGATCTATGAATCTTGGGAGTGGTTTAAAGAGTTGCTTAAGAAATGCCCCCACCACGCTCTGCCTGATTATCCAAATTTCTAACAACAAGTTGTTAGGATCCTTAAGTTCTATCATAAATGGGGGTTCTTAATGTCTAAACTATTTGATAAGACCTATTAATTGATTTTAGAAATGACCATGAATAATTTCCAATGGCCATCTAAGAGAACCACCCTTAAGAAAGTAGCTAGTGTGCATGAGACTGATGTCCCGACCTTCTTGTCTTCATAAGTGGTTATCATTTCTATGAAAATAAACAGCTTTAGGTTGCATTTGGTGTAAGGATCCCTAATAAGTGAAGGGATGATTTATGGTCCAGTAGGAGATTCAAGCATTAATGCCTTGAAGTTGAAGAAAATAAATTTTAGATGCAACCAATTCAACAATCCATATTCCAACACATTCAATCAATGCTGGAATATTGTAATATCATTTTAAATTTCTCTTATGACCTAGAAATAAGTTAAGGAGGATTGTGTCCTAGGTTTTCAACCATCACTTAAGGGAACTTATAAGAAAATCATCGAGAGCATACTACATTGATGTGTCAAGAGCATGAGTCGCATCACCTCTAAAGCATTCTAGATTGCTCCCTGACTTCTATATTATTGTTTTTTATTTTTATCTCATTTATTATTTTTCATAGAATAATTAGATTTTCTTTCTTGCGCTTAGATCACTTCAAACTAGATT